GTGGGGGTGGGGCCGGGCCAGGGGCCTGGACAGGGAGGGACGAAGTTGCACCGCGGTCAGTCTCCGCTCCGGAAGTGTCCAAACACCGGCCGGACACAGACAACATGGGCTTTGGGGGGAACACCCGAGACATTACCACCCACCCCCTGTGCAGGCCCTACCGGCCGCCATCCAAGGCCATAGGATCGTTGAGCACCCTCTTGGTTCGACCCTCGGTCTTGCATGGCCACCCCCTTCCCAGGTGCTCAGCGGGGCTCGCCGCGCTCCCGCCCCTAGGGGATCGATCGGCTGGCGGGCGGGCGACGCGCGGCCCCGGCTCCCAGCCTCCGCCCCCTCCCCCGCTCGGGCTAAGCAGGACGCGGCCTCCGAGCAGCGTCCTCGCGGTTCCGGGCCGCGGCCAGACCGGGCTCCGGGCCAGCAAGGGGAGGCGGCGACGCGCCGGGCCCTTCCGATCGGGCCCGCCCCTCTGCCCCAGGGTGGGGGAGACCCGACCAGCGCGAGCCCAGCTTCTCAGCCCGCCAAGCTGGACGCCCCCTCTTCCCGCGGGGGCGCCCCCCGCCCGGTGCCAAACACCCCCTCGGGCGCGCGCTTAACCCTTGGCGCGCGGCGAGGCCGGAGCAAGGGAGGCGGGTGGGGGCGGGGTGGCAGTGAAGCTTAGGCTGACGACCACTTCGGGGTCCGCCGAGCGATTTTCATTTCATTCTCAGGTTTGCTGCAGCAGCTAGCTCTTGGTTGGAAATGGGAAGAAATCTGCCCTGTGTGTGGGCCCCGCTGGGTTTGGGCGCGCGACGGGGGCACCCGAGAGCAAAACGCAGGGGCGGGCGTGGAGGGGCGCACCTCGGGGGCAGAAGAGACCCGCGGCTAGGCCTTGGGCAAACGAAACCCAAATAAAAACCACACAGAACGCCGAGGCCGTTGTGAGCGCGTGGCGGCGGCGGGCGGTGGAAGCCGCTCCAAAGATCATATTTGAAATATGGTCCCGGGGGCGCAGATCTCCAGGCCGGCAGAGCCTCGCTACTGAGCGCCGGGCGGGGGCCGGGTGGGCTTCTCCCGGACGGCCAGGGGCGGCTGCCTGACGCCAGCAAGGGATGGGCCAGCAGACGTCGCAGTAACCAATGCGTCCGCTTCGGCGCCCGCGACCCCAGCGTGCCGCAATGCGGAGGCGCGGCTGTGCAGGCGCCGGTGTGGCCCCGAGGGGTGCCCAGGCCCTGCCAAAGGGCCACAGCTTCGTGGCGCGTCTGGCCCGTGTCTCCGCCAGCGCACCCTGCCAGGCCGGCCTGCCTTGACCCTGGGCTTCAGCCCCGCGCGGTCCTTGGGGTGGGACCTGGGGGTGTTGGGGACCGCATCACGAAAATGAAAACCCATCCCGTGTGTCGTTTTTGGTGACAAAGAGCAGAAACATTGGAGTGGGAACGCGGCGGTTGGAGGGGTGTCCTTAGAAACAAAGCCGCCCTTCCTGCAGGGGGGAGGGGGAGGCGTGCAGGGCTCGCGAACAGCCTCCCCCATTCCACAGGTCAGCTCCCCCAAGCCGCCACTTAAAATACAGTATCTCAAATGCCAGCGCTGAAGTCAGACAATTCCTCTACTAAGAACAAGGAAGAGGAATGAGCTCTCGCAAAAGCCGGCAGATTTGTCGTCATTACTGGTGAATTCCCCCTCGACTACCTAAAATCCACCTGGGGACAGTTGATCGGGGAAGCCACAGAGCTGGGCTCCGTGGGCGGTGGTGGCATTCTCGAGGCAGTGAGCGCCCATTCCAGGAGAGGGCTCCTTTAAGAAGTCGTTTATTTCCCTGGACTGGCGCGGGTCAGGCTTGTTCAGAGACCGGACACTCGGTACCCACCCTCCAGGCCATGGCCATTAAAAAGTTCCTGACTTCTCCAGGGTCCACTCCTTGGCCCTCTCTCCTCTAAGCTTGAACTTACTTCTGGGCAAGAGAATAGCGCTCCTCTCTTGGGGCCCCTGAAGGCCCCTGGGGGCCCCAGACCTGGGTGACATCAGGAGGACTTCTGCTCTACAGCGGAGCGAGGGCGCGACCTGATCCTGTCTGAAAGAGGATAGCGTGAAATGCACGGACCAGCGACTCTCACCACGGTTCCCCGTGGGGCTCTGGGTATCCCCGGTCGAGGGCAGGGGCCCCAACAGAAGGCTCTGGAAATCCAGGGTTTGGAGCCAGCCTCTCCTGCGGCTCCTTCAGAGGAACCAAGGCAGGGGGTTGGGACGGTAGGGCCAACCCCATGGGAAGCTTTCCAGGAGGGGCTTGGGGGCGCGTCAAGGAGCTGTCAGGGGAGCCCACCTCCCGCCCTGAGCTTGCGTCGCGCGTCTCCTCCCTGCCACCCAATTCGCACTTCGGCGAACCTGAGCTCCTCTCCACCCTGGCTGGCCAGCAATCAAGGTTGGGGCAGGGGTCCGGGAGTCAGCCTCTCTCCTTATCTGCCCACCCTCTGAGGGCACAGATGACCTCGCAAGGGAAACTAGTGCGTTCAGCGGGTGTTTCTGTGTTTCGACCACTTCCCAGTCGCCAGCGGAAAGGCCCAGCGCGGGGAATGCGGGGTGGCCGTCAGCTTTGCGGGCTTCTGAGGGTCTTCCCGGCGCCCCTCCCCAAACCCCGCGCGGGAGATTCCTCGTGTCGCCCCACCGGCAGCTCCACTGTACCGACGGGCGGGAGCCCATTTCCTCCCCAGCTTGTCGCAAGGCTTCTGGACAAACTCGCCGACTTGTCCGGGTCGGGCCAAGTGGCCCCCAAGGCCCCAGATGGGCCCCTGAGGGCCCTGGACACTGAGAGCCGAGCCGCCGCTGCTCAGTTCCATGCCCTGGCAGCGGGGAGATTGCAGCGGCTGCACCACCTCCTCTGGCACCCCGACCAGGACGCTGCGCAAACACCCAGAGCAAACAGATTTTCCAGGGGATTTTCGAGTAAGGGGACGGGAAGAGTGTCGGGAAGCTCAGCCTCTTCCCGGACTAGGGGACTGGCCGACAGCGTGGATGGCCTGGGGAGGGTCAACGTTTGCGCGGCTGTTTCGCTAACAGCGCTCTGCCTCATCCTCAAGGACCCCTCGCCTTCTGCTGCTGAGCTGTCCCACCCGACCGGCCGTTTCTCTCAGTGGGCAGGTGTCAGGAAAAAAGCCAAACGGGGGGCGAGGAAACTTCCTGTGTACCTACCCCCAGCCCTAAGAGTCCGGGGAAGCGCAGGCAGGCGTTGTCTCACCTTGCCCCCCTCCCCACGTCTTGGGAAATCCTAGGTTTGCGCCCCAAGCTCGTCAGAGATCAGTCGCTGCACAGCGAGCCCCTCTCTGCAACTTCTGAGGATGACCCCCACCCCAATACTCCTAGGGAGGAGCCACACGGGTCTCGGACAGCGGCTGCTGAACCACACCATTTGCATCGGAGAAGCTTCGAGATGAAGGAGCAATGGTGGAGTCATCGTGAAGGTTCAACACTAGACTGTCTGCAGGCTTGGGCTGGACTCCTGGAAAAGCATGAGCCCCGGCAGGGTTTGAGAGTTTTGCTTCCGCACCTCGCCCCTCCCCAGTTCGCCCAAGCCGCGACGCAGTCCCCACCAGACATTCTGGGACGCGTGTCAAAGCAGAAGCGGAGACCCGGATGGCTCTTTGCCCGCCCCCCTTGTTCGCTCCACTCTTCCTTGGCTTTTGCTTTCTCGGTGGACGCTCAGCCAAGAGATTGCGCAAGCTTCCTGCTCGCTGTCCCTTCAAAAGCCCTGAGCCAGGGCCCCGACACACCCCAGGCCAGGCGTGCCCCTGCCCCTCCCACTCGGGGTGCCCTACCCCCTGCCAGATCCACCCTACGCGACCCCAAGGATCTCCGGGCTCGTCGGTGGCGCCCTCGAGAGGCCACGTGGGGCGCAGCAGCTCCCCCAGCCGGATGCTGGAGCTGCACTCCGGAACGCGCCATGTCGCCGACGCCGGAGGTGCTAAACTTCACACTGGACGGCTGCCCCAGCCGCGTCTGCGGAGCTCGGTTTGGCTGTCGGGGACCAGGGAACGCGAATTCACGAGGAGTGCGTGGCTCCCCGGCTATTCTATTCTCCTCCCCTTCTCGCTGCCCGCTCTTCCCCAGCTCAGACTTATCCTATTAATGATCCCACGCTCTCCCTCTTTCTAGTTCCTTACCAAGACCCCACGAACACCTCTCCGATCCCTCCAGGCAGACCTACCCTCTGTCCTCCCCGCCTCTCACGCTGCGTGGCCCTGGGGACTGCTGGAAACTGGACATCCCGCCCTGCCCCACCAAAGAGCCGACCAAGCGTAAATTCAAAGCCGTTCAGGATCTGGGATGAGATCGGACTCGGAGTCCCTTTCTGGAGAGGTTCGTGAGCACTGAAGCCCCGGGACCGGCTGCGCCTCAGTCCCCTTCTTCATCTTTCCGAGCTCCTTCGCATCCAGTTCTGTCTTCTCCCCGCCCTTTCTCTCCCTTCCTCGCCGTCCTAAATGCCCAGAGCCTCGCGGGGCGGGGCAGCGAGCGCGGAGGGTGGGGGCGCGAGTTGCCCCCGCCCCGATTCCGCCCCCTGCCGGTGGTTCCCGGTGCCTCCGGGGCCACCCTTGACTCAATTTGGAGTAACCATAAACTGCAGTGGATGCTTCAGTGGCCCCCAGCAGGGGTCCCCGGGCCGTGCAAACCGCGTGAAGCTGGGGGGGGGGGGAACCGAGCTGCAGGAGAGGGTCGGTGGTGTCGAGGTGTCCACCCCCGCCACCCCCGCGAACACACCCCTCCTCCGCTGCCCCCAACTCCCTCTCTCTAGCTCCCTCTCCCTGCTCGCAGATCCCTCCCCTACACCTCCCGGCGCCCTCCTCTCCCGGGGCCCCTCCCGCGCCCTTCCTCCTCCCCCGCCGCCCAGGCCCCGGGCCTCCGGTAGGCCCGGCTGCGCCAATCCGAGCCGCGGCCCGCCCCCTGACGCCGAGCTGGGCCCTGCGAGGCCCCGCCCGCTGACGTCCGGGATTTGCATGAGTTCTTGTGCAGCGGCGGCCCGGGCTCAGTTGTCTGAGCGAGCGCGAGCAGGGAGCCGGGCAGGCGCGGGCAGCGGCGGCGGCCAGGCTGTGCGGGGTGAGCGGCGGCGGCGGCGCAGGCAGCGCGGGCCGAGAGGTTCCTGGGCCGGACCGCAGCTGGGCGCCAGCGGGAGCCAGCAGAGTCTGCAGCCGCGCCAGCCGCCCGCGCCCCGGCGCGCTCAGGCTCGGCCATGGAGCTGCCAGCTGTTGGCGAGCACGTCTTCGCGGTGGAGAGCATCGAGAAGAAGCGGATCCGTAAGGTAGGGAGGCGCGGGGGCGGCGGCGCGGCGGCGCTGGAGCGGCGACCGGAGCAGCCCGCGAGAGGCGGGGAGGGGGTGGGGAGGCTGCGGGCCGGAGCCGGGGATCCCGCGGAAGCTGATGGAGTGCTGTCTCTTCCCCCCGCAGGGCAGAGTGGAGTATCTGGTCAAATGGAGAGGCTGGTCCCCCAAGTAAGTAGCGATGGGGGTGGGGGCCGGGGTGCCGAGGCGCGGGGCGCCGGGGCCGCCGGACCCGCCGAGCTGGTGGGGTGGTGGGGGAGCGGACGGGAGGCGGGGTGGAGGTGGGGTGGAAGGAGGAGGGGGTGGGGAAGTCGGTGGCAGGCACTGGGAAGCCGAGCCGCCGAGCCCGAGCCCGGCGCCCTGTGTTGTGCTCCGCTCTCCGGGAAATGCCATCACTAATTTATGCACTAAAAGGAGCCGGAGGAGCTGGAGAGACGCGGGGCCGAGCCGGGGAGGCCGGCGGAGGGAGGGAGGGCGCAGGCACTGACTGATGTGCAGCAGAAAATGGCTTCTTTCCCCTTTCCCTCCACCGAACGGCTCCATATTGCAAAACCAAAAAAAAAAAAAATTAAAAAGCGACGAAAATGCAATTGTGTGCCTTCTCCCTCCTAGTGGTGCAGGGAGGGGAAGAAAAAAAGCAGAAAATGTTGGGAACTGTCACTGCGGCGCTTTTGGTGGGGAATTTTTTTCTTAATTTGAAATGCGAAGGCACCGGATGAAGACAGGCGCAGGCACACGCACACACACTCACACACACAGAGGCATATTTTTGTGTTGCTGAGTATTTGGGGTTTGCCTGCCCGTGACAGCGGGCTCCTGGGCCACGAGGGGGTATGGGGGGCCGTTGCACTGTCGGTTATCGGATTAAGGGTCAAATGCAGAACGGCTGAAGCTCTTACGAGACTCAGGCTAGGGAAAGGAGGAGGAGGACTGCGACTTTGCATTTCGGCTGCTTTGCACGCAGGGTTCCTAGTGAGCAAAGTGGCTTTTGGAACATGTCGCAGTAACATGCTTAAAATTCTTGACAACTGCAAAATAAACTGCTAGTTTCGTTTCCCTTAGCCCTCCCCTTTTTTCCTGCCCTTGTGTGTTTATTTTGACTTGGGGGGGGATTGTGTATGAAGGACCGTGTTAGGCCTGCAAAAATGTGCCCTCCAACCTCCACAGCTAAATAGCTTCTGGTTCATGAAGACAGATAAGGCCTTATATCATTCCCCACCTGGAGGCCGCAAAGCTGGCTCTTTTTTTTTTTTTTTTTTTTACACGCCGTGTCCCCCTCCTTTTTCCCTTGCAAGATATAACACGTGGGAACCAGAGGAGAACATCCTGGATCCCCGGCTGCTGATCGCCTTCCAGAACAGGTGAGCGTTCCCCAAGCAGCCGTCGCTGGTCAACTTGACCGTATATGGGAATGGGAATGTGGGCTACGCAGCAATAGGAAAGGGGGAAGGGGGCGGCAGGACCCCCCCACACGGGCCGGGCCGGGCAAGGCTGCGGCCTCGGTTCCTCTAACCAACGTCCTTGGCCGTTGCTGCAGCCTGGGAGTGGGGGTGGGGCAGGGCCGGGGAAGACAAGGCTTGAGTTTTGGAGGAACTGCAGGAAGAGTGCATGTGGGTGGCCCTGCAGCTGCCCCGGAGAACTCAGGGCTGAGCCCGGTTCCCAGCTGGCCCCCCTCCCGTGGCAACTTTGGTGACCCACCCCCCCGAAGCCTAGGTGTTGCTTTCCTGCAGCCACTGTCCGCTTGGCACCGGCACCTCTCGGGGCAGCTCCGAAGGAGCTGGCATTGTGAAACCGCCCGGACGTCATGGAACTGAACTTAACCTGTTGGCGGCTGGAGAAAAGTTAGCCAAGGCCTTAAGGCCCCAACCTAACCCCCCAGCGGCTGGAGGTGACAGGGAGTAGAGGCTGTCTGAAGCCTATGCCTTTCACCCCCTCTCCCCACTAAGCTATTTGGTGGGGACAGGGCCCCATCAGGGAAGGGGGAGCTTGGCCCAAGGGCTTGGGGTGGGCGCTGCCTGGTGTTGGAGGGGTGGCTTCTTCTGGGGGCTCATCCTCCTGCGCACAGATGCTTGTCACGCTGCAGCTGCTGCAGCTGGATTCGCAGCCGGTGGCTGTGGTTCTCTGTTTCGGGAGGATGGGGGGGAGGGTGCGAAGGGGAGGAGCAGCAGGAACCCTTGCAGCTCGGCCACTCCGCAGCCTCTCATTCCTCCTCCCCTTTTATTTTGCATTATTTCCTGTAGCGCGTTTGGCGCTAAAACTATAAACTCTAGACCCTCTTAGCTAGCGCCCAGCGGGGAAATTGCCCTCCTGCGACGCAGGGGGGCGCCCGGCAGGGATCCTGCCCGGACTCCACCTGGGAGTTCACCAGCCTGTAACCAAGTCAGCGGCTGATGCCATGTTGCATAATGGGTCCCCGAAGAATTAAAACTCAGGCTGTTGCAATGCCACGCAACTTCGGAGTCAGGCCCCGGCCTGGCCCCAGGGCATGGCGGAACTCTCCTGGGTTGGCCTAAGGGCATTGGGATGGGGGTGGTGACTTGGGTTGCTGGAGAGCTGGTTTCTGGCCTGAGAATGTGGTGCAACTTTGGCAAACTCTGGAGGAGTGTCCCCTTCTCCTGTGGTGGGCTGGGCAGTGCTTGAAACAAGTCAGCCACTCTTTGGTCCAAAGGCGGAAACCTGGTGGCTGTAATGACCGGTACCCCCCACCACCACCACCACCACCCATGGGGGTGTACTAACAATTTGGAAATCGTGGCGGAGGGGATCGGGCTCCGACCAGGAGGCGGTACTTCTCCGAGCCGCCCCCGCCCCGCCCCGCCCGGCCCACTGGCTCAGCCAGGGTGGTGCCGGGGCTGGTTCACCAGGTGGCTTAGAACCTGGCCAGCCCCTGGCTTCAGCGGCCTGCCCCCGCCCCCAGCCCCTAATTGGCTCATTTGCCACTGTGTAAACAAGGGCGCAGCCCCTCCCCCTGTTTAATGCCTGGCCTTTAAGAAAACGAGACCTCCCTTCTGCCGGCGGCTCTCGTTATCTGAATCTTAATGAGGTCGTTAGCATACTGTGCTTCTGACCAGGAGGAACGGGGTCGGTGCACACCTCATGTGGGCTGCGCGTATTTCCTGGACCCGCGCGCCCACTCCACTTTGCAGAGCCACTAGCCCAAGGCTGTGGCCCAGTACCAGTGTCTCAACCCTCGCTCTGTAGTCTCTTCAGCGTGGAGACAGGGCTTGTGGGGTTTAGATGAGACATGTCAGACGTGGGGGAGCCCTTGGCCTGGAATCCTTGAGCAGATGAGGTCTGGGCATCATAAAGCGGGGGTGCTGCTTGGAACTTTGACAGAGGCGCCCGACTGTCAGCGGAGGCGACCTTCTGCCTCCAACAGTTTATCCCTGTGCATCCTCTGATCACCACCTACTCGCAAAGCGGGGGTTGGGACGCCACAGAAGATTGGGGAGGTGATCCGAGGCTAACCGCTCGGCCCTCTGTTCCCTCCCCAGGGAACGGCAGGAGCAACTGATGGGATATCGGAAGAGAGGGCCGAAGCCCAAGCCGCTGGTGGTGCAGGTGAATACTTTCAGCTGGCCCTGGGGCCCCCCCATGAGCCCTTCCCTGGACATTGCCACCGGACCTACTTGCTGGTGTGGAGGGAGGGGAACTCTCCAAGACACCTCAGTTTCTCCTTTCAGCCAGACCTTCCGCGCCCCGCCCCCCCATACCCCATGACGCAGCTGCAGACCCTTGGGACCTGGGGCACTCCTGATGCTCCCGGCATGCCTTGGGCCGACCTTCTCCCTCCTCTCGCCCCTCCCCCACTTAGGTACCTACCTTTGCCCGTCGCTCCAATGTCCTGACTGGGCTCCAAGACTCCTCCGCTGACAACCGTGCCAAGCTGGAGCTAGGCACGCAGGGAAAGGGCCAGGGGCACCAGTATGAGCTTAACAGCAAGAAGCACCACCAGTACCAGCCGCACAGCAAGGAGCGGTCGGGCAAGCCCCCACCGCCAGGCAAGAGCGGCAAGTATTACTACCAGCTGAACAGCAAAAAACACCACCCCTACCAGCCGGACCCCAAGATGTACGACCTGCAGTACCAGGGCGTCCACAAGGAGGCACCCAGCCCCACCTGCCCGGACCTGGGTGCCAAGAGCCACCCTCCCGACAAGTGGGCCCACGGCGCAGCGGCCAAGGGCTACCTGGGGGCAGTGAAGCCCCTGGCTGGAGGCGCGGGAGCTCCAGGCAAGGGCTCGGAGAAGGGCCCTCCCAACGGGATGACGCCAGCCCCCAAGGATGCAGTGACGGGCAATGGAATTGGGGGTAAGATGAAGATCGTCAAGAACAAGAACAAGAACGGGCGTATTGTGATCGTGATGAGCAAGTACATGGAAAATGGTATGCAGGCGGTGAAGATCAAGTCGGGCGAGGCGGCCGAGGGCGAGGCGCGCTCCCCCAGCCACAAGAAACGCGCCGCCGAGGAGCGCCACCCCCCAGCTGACAGGACTTTTAAAAAAGCGCCCGGCACGGTGGAGGAGAAGAAGGCGGAAACCCCATGCAAGAGGAGGGAGGAGGAGGCGCCGGGGCCCGGGGACCCGCAGCCCCAGGACGCCGGCTCTCGAAAGCTCTCCCCGACCAAGGAGGCCTTCAGCGAGCAGCCCCTGCAACTCACCACCAAGCCGGACCTGCTGGCCTGGGACCCGGCCCGGAGCTCACACCCACCCACCACCACCACCACCACCATCACCACCACCACACCGTTGGCCTCAACCTCTCCCACGCGCGCAAGCGCTGCCTCTCCGAGACGCACGGCGAACGCGAGCCCTGCAAGAAGCGGCTGACAGCGCGCAGCATCAGCACGCCCACCTGCATAGGGGGCAGTCCAGTTGCAGAGCGTCCGGCCGACGCGCCACCTGCCACCGCGCTCCCGCAGCCAGAGGTCATCCTGCTGGACTCGGACCTGGATGAACCTATAGACTTGCGCTGCGTCAAGACGCGCGGCGACACCGGAGAACCGCCCAGCTCCCTCCAGGTGAAGCCGGAGGCAGCCGCGGTGGTAACACCGGCGACAGCCGCCGAGAAGCCTCCGGCTGAGGCCCAGGACGAGCCCACAGAGCCACTGGGCGAGTTCAAGCCCTTCTTTGGGAATATAATTATCACCGACGTCACGGCGAACTGCCTCACCGTCACGTTCAAGGAGTACGTGACGGTGTAGCCGGCGGATGACAGAGAGGGCAGCGCCTTCCGTGCGGGCTTAGCGCCTGCGGCCTCAGAAACCCTCCTCTCGGCACTGGACCCAGGGGAGGACGCCCAAGCCGTGGTGTCCTCGGATCCCCGCGGAGGCGCCCGCCCCGTACTGTCTCCTTCCACGCGGTGCCTGCGGTCTCGCCGCCGCCTGCCCCTTCCCCACAGGAGACCACAGCCTCCCCCTCCCCGTGGAACTGACCGGGCAGCTCCGCGGCCGTCTCAGAGTTATAGTATTATATTTTAACCGTGCTAACTTGTCAAGTGCTGACTCTACTCCCGTTTGTACGTGGTGTTATTATTGAAATGTATTGTTTGAGCTCAAAAGGCCCGACCACTCCCACTTCGGGCTGATATATATATATACATATATATATATATATTTATTTGTAGGTATTTATATATTGAAATATAAAAACCTAGATTTATGGAGTTTCCTCTAGATCATGTTATTCTCTATCAAACTCTTTTCTGTTGACCTTTCTTCCCCCTCATTCAGTATTTCGGTTGATTTCATTTTCATCCCTTCCAGGAACTGCAGTACCAGTAACCTTGGTATATATTTTTTGATACTGTACACATGGATGTGTTGTTTCTATGTGCAAAAGAGAAAAGTTTGTTAAAAGGCTAAACGAGCTCTCTAGAACCTGCTGCTACTAGAACTGTCTAAACTATAAGCTTCCAATTATTACCTGCTTGAATGTAAATATTAAATGGAGATGTCGAAGGTGCACTTTTGCTACTTGAGATTAGTGCAGATGGGGACACGGAGGCCGAGCCCCTCTCCCACCCCTCTTCCGCTTCAGGTCTCACAGAAGCTCCGTGCTAAGACTTTGCACAAGCCAAGTGGTCTGGTTTCGCGGGAGCGGCGCCCCGAGCAGGAGGGTGACCCCACTCGGGGGAAGTCCAGAGGCGCTCCGCTGTTAAGGGGAATTCCTGCGGAGGGGAGGAGGATTATGCCAGAGCCAGCCCTGTCCCCAGGGCTTTCTGGCCCGTAGTGCCCACGGCGTTGGCAAACTTAGCATCTGGGTAGTGGAAGGGCTGAAGGAGTGAGCAGCGCCGAGACACGGGGAGTGCTAGCCCCCACCTCCCCTCTCCCGCCAGCAGCTGCTGACCTTTGTCCCCCAGGGAGCCAGGCCCTGGAGGGGCGGCGAAGTTCCACCTTAGTACTCCCCGCGGGTAGGGCAGGCTCCGCGGGGAGGAGACTCCCACCCTCTCGGGCGGCGTCCCAGGCTGGCATCGTCGGCCCCGCCCCGCCGAGGAAGCCGCCGAGGCTCTTTCTCTGCCAGGCTCTCCCCGGAAACCACCAGGCCAGAGGCCCCGACTGAGGCCAGCGAACCAGCGATCGCCGCCGCGTGGGGGGCGGGGGCTTCCTGCAGCGTGAATGGGGACGGGGCAGCAGGCCGGTGGGGCCAGGCCTGCCACCCCTACTTCCTTAGTGAACGAGGTGAGCTGGCATTTGTCGCCCGCCCCCGTTGGAGTGGCAAGGCCGAGGCATTCGGTGTCTCGAGGAAGGAAGGGGATAAGGGCCCGGAGATGGCGAGGGGCGCAGCTCGACGGACCAGGAAGCCGCGACCCGGGAATGCTGCGGCAGCAGCCGGCTCTCTGCAGACACAGCAATCTTCCTCCTGGCTAGGGTGGCAGAGCAGGGCCGGGGACCGCGGGCATGGGGCCTGTTGGGCTCAAAGCTGCTCCTGGCCTTCAAAGGCCCAGCCTGGGATCTAGGGATGGGGGTGGGGGGGGCTCCAGGGTGAAAGAGGACAACGTGGTACAGAATGGGAGGGCCACCGAGGTGACCAGAGGGGCAGGGGAAGAGATGGAGAGGAAGGCCAGGAGGGCGGGAGCCTGGATGTGCACAGAGTGGCCAGTGTTGGCTGCAGGCCACCAGCGGCTGGAGGTGGGGGAGGGGAGCCCAACGGGGGAGGGGAGGAGGGGAGGAGGAAAGAGAAGCGCCTTTTAAAAAATAAAAAGCCGTTGGTAGTTTCTAGCCCTGGCTTTTGTGAATTGTCCCTCCCACTACCCCCATCACCCCAGAGCCCCCTTCAGAGTGAGTTAAACACCCCTCCCCCTCCGTGTAATGAACGCCCTTTGCCACCCTGCCAGTGGAGGAGGCTGATCTTGCTGCTGGCAATGCGCCTGCTTGGGGCGAGAATTGGGCCTGTCCTTCACTGGCTGGTACACAAAGGCCTCTGCCAGGCAGGAACCTTGGCCCCCTGCTCTTGTAGTTGGGGAAAATGGAAAACTTCTGGATGCCAGGGAACTCTGCTCAGGTCTGCAGAGGGTGACCTAAGAGTGAGCCTGGCCCCTAGATGCTGGGCCTGGGGATGGGGGACAGGAGGTAGAGAATGGTATTCCTGAAGCCAGTGATGGGTGGCAGTGCACCACCTAGAAAGGTGCGGTCTGCTGGTGGACTTTGGGATGGTTCTGGGCAGAGCCTTGAACCTAAGATTAGAAGGCAGACAATGGAACAAGGGTCCTGGAAGTCCCAAAGAGCAGCTAAGGTTCCCAGCCTGGTGTCCAAGACCCCAGTCTGTCTCAAGAGGAACAAGAGACTGTCATTCACTGAGCTGCTCAGATCTACCAGGTGCCACCTGGGCATCGTGTAGTCCCTACGGTGATTAAGCCCCCTGTGGGATGGGTCTTGTCCAGAATGCATGGCCACTGTCTGGTTCTGTACTGATTATAGAACCAAGCTGGCTGCTCCACCACCATGCACAGGACCCCTGGGATTTGGCTCCACTTAGCACTGGCCTTACAAGCTATGTCCAAGACACAGAAACACAGAGGGTTAGGGGCCTGGCTATGGAACAAGAGTTTCCCCTCCAAGGGCCTTCAAGGTAGGAGGGTTCACAAGTCCCAGCTCTACCTGGATGTGGACGTGCCCAGCACTTCACCAGCAAAGGGTCACAAACCCTCTCTTTAAACCCAAATTCAGGGATGGAAATCGAGGAGCAGAGGTCTTAACCCTGCAGACTAGAACCCCAGACTTCTTTTTCTCCCAAAAAAACCTTTCTCATGGGCTGATAGAGTCTGGAGCTGACCCATCACAAAGGGTGGGGCATTCGTGTATCTGTCCTCCTGTGCCAGCCCAGCCCAGGCTACAGCTCTGACCTCCCTCACTTTCAGAAGAGCCCGTTCAGCATCAAGTGCTTACTCCATCCTTGAGCATCATGGGGACAAGACAGAGATCTACGGATCCAAGCTGCATCGGGTCCAGAGTTGCTAGAGAGACCAAATAAAAATCTAGAATGCCCAGGTTGATATGAACATCAGATGCACAATGCATAATTTTTACATAGATGTATGTCCCCAGGAGCTACTTAAAACATATTTCTTCTAGAAAAAGGAAAGGATGCATTGTTTAGTTAGCTGAGCACCCTGGATTTTGTCTAGATATTACTTTGGTCTCAAATAGTCACCATGGTCAGTCCCTACCCACAGGAATGGCTTAGTTCAACAGTACAGAAAAGGCACAGAGAGCTGAAAACCACTGGTTATGGATAGAAGGGTAGCCGGTGACACGAGGCCCTCACCTGTGATTAGACTGAGGGTGGGATAGGAGTCTCTAGACATGTGACACACTAGACAAAGAAGTGGGTGAAGACCAGAAGTGGACACTTTGTATTCTGGCCCATGTCGGGCCAAACAACATACTTCTAGAATGTGCAAGAAAGGTGGAACAGATGGGTTTGCTGTGACCACTTCCTTTGTGAAAAAACCTTTACCTTCCTGTGCCTGTTTCCTGGTCACCTTGAAAACCTGGCCATGCAGGTAAGGATGAACTGGGTCAGGAGGCAGCCTCCAGCACTTCTGGAAAGCCCCCTAAGTAAACATGCAGCTTCCTTCTTCACCAGGGAACATTAAACATCCCAAGTCAGATGCAAACAGCTTCCAACGGTTTCTGGCCAGCAGCCTTACCTTGACCAAGGGATAGACTGCACAGCAATGTTCACCTTCAAACCACCTTCCTGGGCCACCCTCCTCACCGCCCCTCAGCTGTGCTTCAGTGCTATCTAATGTCCCTTGGATCTTAGTTTCAGCCTCTCCAGCTTTATCCTGGGTGACTGAGAGTGATATTGGGACAAGAGTGAGGAGGAGGCACAGAGGAGTAAAGCTGCCCTGGGACAAAGACAGATCTTTGCACCTTTTGAAAGGAGCTTACTCTGTGACCCTGTGTAATGCTTGCTTCTCAGCTGGGAAGGTGAAGAGGAAATTGTATTGAAGACTGTTATTCTTGGATACAAGTGTCTACTTCCTGTGGCCACTGGTTCAGAAAGCTACCCCTCCCCCGCCCCATCCTCCTCCTGGCCTCTTCCCTTTGCAGTTAATAATAACAGTTAACATTGATTGAGTGCTTATTATGAGCTGGGCACTTTAAGGGGATTTATCTCATGTGATTCTGTCATCTCCATGAGGTGGGCCTATCACTGGCCTTGTTTTATAGGTAAGCAATATGAAGGCTTAGTGGCTAACCTGCCCCAGGTCAAAGAGCCAGTCAATGGGGAAAGACACAGGAGCCCACAGCTAGCATTGTGTGTCTCCAGGGGCCCTGCTCCCAGTCTCTGGGTTGCTGTGGGTGCTTCAGAGGCTGGCTCAGGCCCCATCCTCTCCCGAGGTTGATCTGGTATTCCAGCATGGAGTCTTGCTCTCATAGGTACTAAAACATTCACTGTTCACTGTCCACCCCCACCCCACCCAGTACTCATGTGTCAGGTCCTCAGTTCTCTTCCTAGACACAGCCCTGAGCTATTAGAGCCCCCTGAGCTATTGGAAGGCCAAGGGTATCTTTGCACTCCCCCAGCCTGGGCACAGTTCTTAAATAGGCCCCTGGGAATCTGACACTGGGTGTGCATGTGTGTCAGGCTCTATGTGTGCACAAGCATGTGTGTGACACTGAAGCAGTTTCCTGACCTGCAGGGCATAACACCACCACAAGCCAAGGGATGCCTTCTAACTTGTATTCAGGTGGCTCAGTTCTGCACAAGCCACTTTATTCCCTTTCTTTCACCCAGGACTAAGAGCTGACAAGCTAGGCTCAGCTGCTCAGGGTTCCTGCTGGCCCCTTGCTCTTCACCTGAGCGGTTTGTGAGAATTTCAGGTAACCATGTAGTCATTGGATTTAGAGAAACAGACCTAAGGACAATCCTGGAGTAAGTTCCAGGGGGAGCTTTGGTTTAATTTCTGCATTTAGCCAAATGGTGCATTGCTATCTGGTTCCCGATTGAAGGGCAGGGACAGACATCTTATTCTGCGTGCAGTTTTAATGTGTGGTTCAGGATGGCTATCAACGTGGGCATTCAGGTCACACGCGTGGTTCTTGGACTTGGTCTTCCCATACACTGCATGGATAAAGGCTGACACACAGAGAGTCCAATAGATGTTAACAGATTATTTCTCTTGCTTGCAAATTTTCAAATCTCGATTGGGGCAGAGGCTGGCATAAATAAAGGATGCGAGGCATGCCTGTGTGCAGA